CCCTCCCCGAGAGGGGGTTGGAAGAGCAGACGGGCCAGACCTCCCGCGCCCAGCGGGCTGGCGTGCCTCGTGGGCGAGGCGCGCCGTGGCCAGGAAGGCCCTTCGCCCCCTCTCCTCGCGGTGGCCCGACGGCTGGCACGGCGAGGAGTCCCATCAGGCTGCGCGGCGTGCCCGCGTCCCGCCGCGGTTCGAGCCCGCGCGGCCTCAGAACGTGTGTTCGGCGTGGCCCCAGGCGTCCGACCCTCCGAGCACGGCTACGCAGGCGAGGGGACGGGGATGGAGGGGGTGGGGGAGGATGAGGAGGGGGCTGTGGCGAGGAGGAGGGGGAAGGGGGAGTAGGAGGAGCATTTGTAGGAGTGGGAGGATGGGGAGAAGGAGAGGGACGAGGTTAGTGGCGGACGAGGTGGATGAGGAACATGATGATGATGCTGATGATGCTGCCGATGGTGCTGCTGCTGACGATGATGCTGCTGCTGATGATGATGTTGTTGATGATGATGATGATGGTGATAGTGGTGGTGGTGGTGGTGGTAAAGACGGTAATGATGCTGCGTCTGCAGATCATGATGATCATGATGCTGATGACGATGATGAGGATGATGACGATGATGGTGATTATTATGATGATGACGACGAGGACGATGCTGTTGTTGATGGTGACGACGATGTCGATGACGATGATGCTGAGGATGCTGCTGATGATTCTGATGATGACGACGACGACGATGATGATCATGATGATGATGAGGGTAATGATGCTGATGGTAATGACACGACGATGATGATGACGCTAATGATGATGCTGATGGGGATGCTTAGGCTGCTGCTGCTGATGATGCTGATCATGACGATGATGACGATGGTCATGATGATGCTGATGATGATGACGATGATGGCGACGATTACGATGAGGCTGATGACGGTGGCGATGATGCTGCTGCCGCTGCTGATGCTGATGCTGACGCTTACTCCGATGCTGATGACGTGGACGATGATCATGATGATGATGATGATGGTGATGTTGCTGATGATGATGATGAGGATGAGGAGGACGAGGAGGAGGGTTATGATGAGGGTGATGCTGATGACGATGATGATGGTAGTGACGATGATGATGATGATGATGATGATGATGATGATGATGATGATGATGATGATGCTGTTGATGCTGATTTTGATGCTGTTGCTGTCGTTGTTGTTGATGATGACGATGAGGATGAGGATGATAACGATGATTATGAGGGTGCTGATGGCGATGCTGATGATGATGATGATGTTTCTGATGGTGATCATGATGATGATTATGAGGAATATGAGGATTATGGTGATGATGAGGCTGATGATGATGATGCTGACGATGACGATGATGATGTTGATGATGCTGCTGTTGATGATGATGATGCTGATGATGATCATGATGATGATGCTGATGATGAGGATGTTGATGAAGAAGATGAGGAGGGTGATGGTGATGAGGCTGACGATGATGATGATGATGATGATGGTGGTGATGATGATGGTGCTGCTGACGATGACGATGATGATGCTGATGATGCTGCTGCTGCTGATGATGATGATGGTGATGATGAGGATGATGATGATGATGATGATGATGATGCGCTGCGTCCGACACGGTGCGGAGCTCTAGCTCGAACGCCGCCCGAGCCCGAACGCCTACTCACTTTGGCGCCTCGGCTACAGCGCCAGGCCGTGCCCACTCGGCAGCGGCGACTGCCAGTCTCCAGAGTGACGACGCTGCCATACCAGTGGCGGCCAATCGCCGCCGCGTGAAGGAAACGACTCCTCCTCCTCTTCCTCCTCCTCCTCCTCCTCCTCTTGTTCCTCCTCCTCCTCCTCCCCCTTCTGCCCCTCCTCCTCCCCCTCCTGCTTCCCCATTCCTTTTTCTTAGAAATGATGAACAATTTCTCCCTGTCGCACCCCGAGGCGGGTTTTTAGGGCGTGCTGGGCGTTTCGCGTGAAACTTCTTCACCACTTATGGTTCTGAAACTTAGAAATTGGTAGCCGTTTCACAGATGGAGGGCGGGTCGTCTTCAGAATGTAACTCTCGCCTTAGCGCGGCGCACATTCGCTTCAAGAGTTTGCAAGAGCTTCACGGATTGAGGGCGGGCCGTTTCCAAAATGTGGCTCTCGCCTCAGCGCGGCGCACATTTTGTAAAACAAATTTCAAGGGTTTCACGGCTTGAGGGCGGGCCGTTTTCAAAATGTGGCTCTCGCCTCAGCGCGGCGCACATTCGTTTTCATTTTTTCGAGGGTTTGACGGATGGAGGGCGGATCGTTTTCAAAATGTGGCTCTCGCTGCAGCATTGCGCGCATTCGTTTCTAAATATTGCAAGAGTTTCACGCATTGAGGGCGGGTCGTTTTCAAAATGTGGTTCTTGCTGTAGTGCGCTGCACATTCGTTGTAAAACATTGAAAAAGTTTCACGGATTGAGGGCGGGGTCGTTTTCCAAATTTGCAAGAGTTTCACGGATTGGGGGCGGGCCGTTGTCAAAGTGTTGCTCTCGCCTTAGCGCGGCGCACATTCGATGTAAACATTTGCAAGAGTTTGGCGGATTGAGGGCGGGTCGTTTTCAACATGTGGCTCTCGCTTGAGCGCGGCGCACATTTGTTTAAACCCTCGCAAGAGTTTCACGGATTGAGGGCGGGTCCATTTCAATATGTGGTTGTCGCTTCAGCGCGGCGCACATTCGTTGTAAACATTTGCAAGAGCTTCACGGATTGAGGGCGGTCGTTTTCAAACTGTGGCTCTCGCGTGGGCGCCGCGAACGTTCGTACAAACAATCTGCAAGAGTTTCACGGATTCCCATCATCAGCGTATTAGAAATGGTGTTGTGGAAGGATTCAGGAGTATGCGGGTGCAACCGTTACATTAGTTCTCTGTGTTGAAGTTCTGAGAATGGCGTTCTGGCAATATTAACGATCGTCAAGACGCAACAGTCAGGCTGATCCGTGGCGTTGGAGGCCCGAGAACAATGTTTTGGCATGCTTCAGGGTCTTCAAACGGATGTCTTCCAACGAGGCAGTTCCACAAATGGAAACGAACCGTTGTAGGGGCCTGTGAAGAGGGAGCTTGGAGGGAGGGTTTACTCCAACATCGTTGATGACTCTTGGGTTTACACTGGTCCTCCTCCTCCTCCTCCTCCTCCTCCCTCCTCCTCCCCCTCCCCACTGCTCCTCCTCCTCCTCCGCCTCCTCCTCCTCTTCCTCCTCCTCCTCCTCCTCCTCCTCCGCCTCCTCCTCCTCCTCCTCCTCCTCCTCCTCCTCCTCCTACTCCTCCTCCTCCTCCTCCTCCTCCTCCTCCTCCTCCTCCTCCTCCTCCTCCTCCTCCTCCTCCTCCCTGCGTGGTCGGCGGGCCCGGTGCTCTGGGGGAGAACCCCCCGCCGCCGAGTTTTTTCAGCTTCTTGTGCGACTGGATTGGCCACGGCGCTGGCCCGGGTTTGGACTGACCCGAGTCGGTCGATCCTCGGCGAGGCAGCGTCCCCTGCGATCCGGGCGTGGCCTTTTTTCCCGAAGTGACCCTGCAGAGTCACGCTCGAGCACGGCGGCGGCGAACTCGTCGCAGGCCTTCGTGAGCCTCGGACCCGCATGTCGCCACGAGCATGATAGGCGCCGCGCTCAGCGCACGAGTAGGTCCCGAGTCGCACTGGGCACCAGCAGCTGCATTTCTATATCCCCTAGACAGGCCTTGCGCAGAGTGTGGGGGCCAGGGGGTTCACACCAACAATAGCAGTCTCGAAGAGCCACACGAGGACTCACAACTTCCGCCACCTGCCCGCGAGGCCGCAGTTCGATGCAGGGTGGCGCCACGAGCCACACGAGGATCCGTCACTTTCGCCACCTGCGAACGAAGCCCACAGCAGCAGCGACTGCTGCTTAAGCGACGAGGTCTGTGAATCCGAGGTCTCGCTGCTGCTGGCATCTGGGTTGCAGTGCCAGTCCCCGAACGAATTAACGGTATGTTGACGTCGTTGCCGACGCTTTCCACTGCTCCAGCTCCGCTGTCCGCTCCAGGAGGTAGTCGAGGCGTTCACGGCGGCGAACGAAGGCAGCTGAAGACGCCGCCGAGGACGACCACCGCTGCAGCTCCACTCGCCTCTCGTTGATGCAGACGCTCACCTCCGCCTCGACCGCCGCCGCGCCCCGTTCCAGGGCAGTCGTCCCCCGCAGGGAGCCCTGGGGCGCATCGGCGCACGCCATCGCGATCAGCAGCATCAGGGGCCGTCCCTCGAAGAAGGGGAAACCCTATACACATAGACCTTTGGCGCTCCGCGAGGAGCGCCAAAAGTTCATGTTTATGCGTGTTTTGTTTGTTGTCTGTTATACATTGTTTTGAAGGAAGAGGAGGAGGTGGATGAGGAGGATTAGAAGGGGGAGGAGGAGGAGGAGGAGGAGGAGGAGGAGGAGGAGGAGGAGGAGGAGGCGGAGGAGGAGGAGGAGGAGGAGGGAGGGAGGTGGAGGATGATGAGGAGGATGATGATGATGATGAGGAGGAGGAGTAGGAAGACGGAGGAGGAGGATGATGAGGAGGAGGAGGAGGAGGAGGAGGAGGAGGAGGAACTGGTGGGGGAGGAGGGGGAGGATGAGGAGGAGGAGGAGGACGATAAGGGGGAGGAGGAGGGTTTCTGGTGGACCCCTTTGAGTCCAGTCAGCGACGTACTAGACTTACAGGAGCCCACCAGACAGCCCCTGATCTTTTACCACGCCCACGCGCGCGTGCCAGGGAGAAGGCTGGCGCAATTCTCTTTTTCCGTGCTCTTCGAGGCTCCCGCCATCTCTGCACTTCCATGTTGTTTTCCTCGCTGCTCAGAGAGCTAACCCTTTGGTAGTCACACGGTCGTGTCCCGCCGGGACCTGTGTAACTGCTGTCGATCCTCACATCTCCCCGTCGCTCTCAGTCTCCACCCTTCCCTCCTTCGCTGTCACTTCTGCTGTCCCACATCTGAACTTCTGCGTGTTCTATACTGCAATGGGCAGCACAGGCAAGACTACGTTACTGTACAGACTCAAGATCGAGGGTTGGAAGAACCCCGAGATCGTCCAAGACATGAGGATCCCCCGGGGCAGGCGAAAGGGAGCTTTGCGCACTCACGTCGATCAGCTTCACGGGTGCCGTAGAGTCTTCGGAGCCCCCCCCCGTTGGATGTGCTCTCGTGCGAGCGCCCGCCCTCCGGAACGGAGTGACGTGCAAATCGAACAGACGATAGCGAAGGCCTCCCCTTTTCCACGTGCTCTCTCGTGGCCACGGACTTTCGCGATCGGGCAAGGGCCGATGTTCAGATGCTGTGGGACATTCTGTGGCACGCCTCGTCTCACTCCTCCTCGTCGTCCTCCTCCTCCTCCTCCTTCTCCTCCTCCTCGTCCTCCTCGTCCTCCTCCTCCTCCTCCTCCTCCCTCCTCCTCCCCCTCGCCACCCCCGTTTCGAGTGCCCGCTCGCTCCGCGCCCTCCCTGCTTCTGTTGAGTACCTCCTGCGATCTCGCCTCCGGCAGGAGTCGCCCAGGGCCTGCTGGGGGTCTCCCGAGGCCCTCTTGGGGGCCTGCAGCCTTGACATGTAGTCCTCTCCCATTTTCTTCCCTCTCCTCTCTCCCCTCTGTCTCTCTTGCCGCTCGTCGTCTTGTCCCTCCTATTGTCCCCCTTCTCCTCTCGCCCCTCTCCTGCTCCTTTCTCACCTCCCTCACCCCGTTCTTGTCCCTCGCGTCCCTCCTCCCTCCTCCCTTCCCCTCTCGTCCCTCTCTACCCTCTCCCCCCCTTTCCTTCTCTTCCCGAAAGTTTCGTCAAGCGCAGGGGGTGGTAAGAGGATATCGTTCGCGGCCTCTGGTGGCGAGACGCACGCTCGAGCGGCGTGGCAAGTGGGCTCATGCCGTCGAAAGATTATGAAACAGGGAGGAGAAGGAGCATGAGGAGGAAGATGAGGTGGAGGGGAACGAGGAGGAGGAGGAAGGAGGAGGAGGAGGAGGAGGAGGAAGAGGAGGAGGAGGAGGAGGTAGGGCGGGAGAGAAGGAAGAGGGAGGGCAGGGGGAAGATGAGTAGCGGGACATGCAGGAGGAAACTGAGAGGGGGAGGAGAAGGGTGATATTGTGTGGTGAGGGTACAGGGGAAGAAGGACTAGGAGGAGGAAGAGGAATAGTGGAGGAGGACCAGGAGGAGGAAGAGGAGGAAGGGAGGAGGAGGAGGAGGAGGAGGAGGAGGATGATGACGAAGAGGACACGAGGAATCTCAGGGTCAGCAGCGGTGCTGCCAAACACCCTACCGTCCCGTGTCCCCTCCTCACATTTTCCCACGGGCATTCCCTCTCCCTACGGGAAGCCACCAATTGAACGACGAGATCCCCATGGCCCTGCCAGTCAAGCGGAATCCTCATGTGTTGAAACATGCCTCCCTCAGGTTCCGGTTTTTCCAGCCCGCACATCCGAAGCAGTCTCAAGCTGGCGCTCCACCTTGACAGGTGAAACCGTACTCCTCATCGTAGCAGATGGAGAATGGCTACCACAAAGCAGCTCGGCGCTGCAGCGAGAGCAACTGCTTGCAACTGTTGGGAGCATGTAAGCTACATGTTCGCAGTGCCGAGGTGAACGCGAATGACCCGCCGTTCAACTCTCTAATTGCTGGGAACTTTCACGGTGAATGTGCGCGGAGTTCAGCCGATGGCCACATTTTGAGAACGACTCGTCGTTCATATCTGTAGCATTCGTTCGAGAACGACCCGCCTTCACCTTTGTAACTGTCTGGAACTCTTTAAGAATGACCCACCGTACATCTTTGGAATTACTGGGGTCTTTTAAGATGAAGGTGCGCGGTGCTGAAGCAAGTTTTTTTATCAACGACCCGATGCCGATTTTTGTAAGTATTGGGGAGCTCAATCGTCAGAGTAATACGTGCCGATAGGAGCTTAGGGAAACGACGGGGTCGCCCTACCGACGCGTCTTGTTGTGCGACGAGGAGGACTTTTTAATCAGCAGGAGCTTCGGGAGATAATCGTGAGGAGAAACACAATAGGAGAAGGGAGGGAGGGAGGCAGTGAGGAGAAGGGCCAGTGTAGACCCAAGACTCATCGATGATGTTGCGATACACCTCCTTCGCAGTTCCCGCTTCGTAGGCCCCATACAAGGTTTCAGTTTCACCGAAGGATGTGCCCCGTTGGAAATCATCAGTTTTAACATATCGAACTGTGTCAGAACCTGATTCCTTGGACTTCAACGCTGCGCGTCACAGTAACTGTTGAGTCTTGAATTCCCGAGTCATTATTCCTGGAACTTCAACAGCACGTGTCCACGTAAGCGTTGCGCCCTGAGAGTCCAGCATCGTGTCCATCCGCGAAGCTCTCGCAATCTTTTAGATCGAGAGATGCGCGGCGCTAAGGCGAGAGCCACATTTTGAAAGCCACCCGCCCTCCATCCGTGAAGTTCTTGCATTTTTAAGGCGGATGTGCGCGGCGCTGAGGCAAGAGGCACACTTTGAAAAGTAGCCGCCCTCCATCCATGAAGCTCTTGCAATTTTGTAGAATTGAGATGCGCGGCGCTGAGGCTAGAGCCACATTTTGAAAACCACCCGCCCTGCATCCGTGAATCGGATGCAAATTTTGAGCTTCAGGATCATCGATTGTGAGAATGTCGGGAAACGCCCGGCCCGCCCTTTCAACCAGCCTCGGGGCGCGACCTGGAGCAGTTGTATGTAAGGAAAGGCATGGAGGAGGACGAGGGGCAGGGGGGTGGAGGAGGAGTAGGAGGAGGAGAACGGAGGAGGAGGAGGCGGAGGAATAACATGACAAATAATAGTCGTAATAAGATAAGCACAATTATAGTATTAGGAAAGGGAGGGATAATAATATTTCCAATGAGAAAAGTAAGAAGCGTACATAGATAGTATAACTCATACTGATGACAACGAGAAAAACGATGAGGAGGATTAGGACCACGAGGAGCAGGAGTGGGAGCAGGAGCAGGAGCACGAGCAGGAGGTTCATGGGCAAGCGGGAGGAGGCAGGGACGCGGGAGGTGATGGAGGGGGATGTGGGGGAGAGGGAGGAGGGAGGAGCGGGGGCCCGCTTGGGACACGTGCCCTGCAGCAGAGGTGGAGAGCCGATGCGCACCTGGGAAGCAGGGCCTGGGCCTTGGAGACCCGCAAAGAAAGAGAGAGAGAGAGAGAGAAATAGAGAGAGAGAAGGATGTATACGTGCATATAGAGAGAGAGTGAGAGAGAGAGAGAGAGAGAGAGAGAGCGAAGGGATATATATATATATATATAGAGAGAGAGAGAGAGAGAGAGAGAGAACTCGTACTCCTGGAGACTCACAGGAACCAGAAGGCATGAGGTTTTCTGGGTCTTCGAGCCTTCGGTGCCTGGGGGGGGGGTCGATCCCGGGCCCCCTCCCCGGAAGCATCGCGGGCAGGTCCCCGGGGGACGGGGGTCGCCCCCTCCTCCTCCTCCTCCTCCTCCTCCTCCTCCTCCTCCTCCTCCTCCTCCTGTTCCTCCTCCTGTTCCTTCTCCTGATCCTTCTCCTGTTCCTCCTCCTCCTCCTCCTCCTGTTCCTTCTCCTGTTCCTCCTTCTCCTCCTCCTCCTCCTTCTCCTCCTCGTCCGCACTCCTCCTCCTCCAGGGCCATCGGCCCGAGCAGCACTCGTGCATGGTAGAGGGCCTGGGAGGCGCGCCCCCTCCTTCGATGTGCTCGCTTCCTGGGGGCCCTTCCGCGGGGGCGCCCACCTGGCGGCTCTGTTCGACGCAGGTTCGGCGCAGGTTCGACGCACGTTCGGCGCAGGTTCGACGCAGGTTGGACGCAGGTTCGACTCCGGTTCTACTCGGGTCGACGGGCGCTCGACGCAACTTCGACGCACGAATGGAGCGAGTGGCTCCAGGAAGGGTCCCCAGAGCGAGTATCTAACCCTCAGGGACGTGCCGTGGGAGGGTGCAGGCATCTCTCTGGTCCTCGGCAGCAGGCAGACATTTGCAGGGGTGTATGAACTCTGTGGGCACCATTTCTGAGCAACACCTTCTTCCTGACTTCTCCTTCCACTTGCTCTCTCTCTCTCTCTCTTTCTGTCTCTCTCGCTTGCCTCAGTCCGTACAGTCATGCACTCCGCGCTTTGCTTCCGCCTTCCTCTCTTCCAAAACGCTTCACGACTGCTCGGTGGCAAAACCTCTTCCCTTCTATAATCGCTGCTTTCCTCCTCCCTTCCAAAAATCTACGCGAGGAAAATGCGTCAGGAAGATTACGTGGGCGACTCGCACTCCGAGGTGATCGATCCTTCCTATCACTACGAGGATGAAGGGGACGGGGTGGTGCGTGGGCGGGAGGTCACGTCTTCAGGTGCCACTGTGTTGAATTCCGCTGCACCTTGATTTATGATGAGCACCCGGCGGGTCCAATCAAGGGCCTTGCTGTACCTGGAGTGGGCCCAGACCTTGATCAGCATGGCCGTGGGGGCGTCATGCGCCAGATTGCCGGCGTCCAGGCCCAGGAGGAGGCTTTACAGGAAGCCGTTCATGCTCCACCCTTTCCTGCCGTGCATGGTCAGTTCCAGGGGCTGGTCGGCTGCACCGTATTCGTGGGGGTGCACTCCCAAGCGAGGACCCGCGCCGCGGAGGCTTGGAGGTCCTCCTCAACGTCCCGCCAGCTGAACTCCTTTGGGTGGGGGTCGGCCCGCCTTGGCTGCGAAGCGGGGTGCCTGCTGCTGTCTGGCCGTCTGGACCTCTTTGTCCCGCTTGCTCCGTCGGCCAGGATCGGATCCGTTCTCGGTCTTCTGGGGTCAGAATGTCAGGAATCCAGGTTCTGAAGAGCGTATCATCGACCTGCCTCGTGATCAGTCGCCCGCCAGGGCTCTCGGCCAGGTCGATCACTAGGCTGGCCGCCTTGGCCCGCTCGTCCCGGGAGTGCAGGGCAGAGTCGGTGGCCTGCTGGAGCACGGCTGCGTTGCAGACCAGGACCCAGCTTGCATTTGGACCTGTTTCGGCTAACGCTGATTCTGCTCCGGTCGTCCATGTGGTCCCAGGGGTGCGAGGAGTTGGCGCGGCTCGTGACCAGAAATGTATGTCGGTATTTTGTCCTTGAGCCGCGTCAGCGGTCAAGACTTTGATGAGGCCTCGCTCATAGGAGGGGGCACCAGTCCCGCGAGCCCCGGAATGCGTTCACCAGGCTGGCGGCCTCCTATGGCTGCTGCGTGAAGCAGCTCTGATCTTGTCCGAGCGCGGCTGGCCTCGGGCCCATGCCTCTCCCCTTGCCCTCGTCCTCGCCCTCGTTCTTGCCCTCTTCCTCGCCCTCGTCCTCGTCCTTGCCCTCGTCCTTGCCCTCGTCCTTGCCCTCGTCCTCGTCCTCGTCCTCTCCCCATGCCTGTCCTCGCCCTCGTCCTTGCCCTCTGGCCCTGCTGGAGGGGGTGGGCGAGCCGCCGGGCCCTGAGCCCGCGCTGCCGGTCTGGGCCCAGCGGCGCAGTGGCGCCAGGGTGAGCGGAAAGCCCGCTTCCAAAGGGGGGCCATCGAGTCGAGCCAAGCAAGCCGTGCGTCTCATGGGACGCGTGTGCAGAAGGGACGATGCGTGTAGAGCACGCTTCCAGGGGGGCGGTGTGAAGCTCGTGCCCGAACAGGCGCATCACGGATGCGTTCTTGGCCAGGCAGCGCGGCTCGACGGCCTAGACCACTACAGCGGTGGCCTGGGCCTCTGTGAAGTTGGCGTAGCCCGCCGCGCGTGTGGAGGCGTGCTCGTGCCCAGTGACACGGTTCAACCGGAAGCCCTTGTCGTCATCAGGGGTCGCGCTGCCGAACGGACTTCGGAAGCCGCCCAGCCCCATGAGTCGGAAGCTGGGCGAGGGCTGGCAAATCCGTGGCTGCTGAAACGGTCTTCCCGACAGGGAACAAAAAAGACTCCTGGAACACAGCGCAGCGCACCAAATGGTAAACGGGATGCTCCCTGGAAGAAAAACAATTTCCTGGAGCTCCGTTCTAGCTCAGCCACGCGCAAACGGAGGTGGGAGGAGGGGGGAGGGCTTTTTCAGTAGCAGCCCTGCTTCTCAGAAGAAGCAGGCCTTGTCTACAGATGTAAGGCCGGCGCCTTCTAAGAAGCAGCCTCCTCCTAAGAAGCCCCCCCCTCCCACACCCCCTTGTGCGCGCCGCCAACTAGCAGCCACGGGCTTGCCAGCCTTCGCCTGGCTTCTTCATGGGGCTGCTCCTGGGCCTGCCCAGTCCAGGTGCGCCAGGCCGAAGCCAGCATCGTCGTCGGCGGGGGGGGGGCCGCCCGCCTCCACGGAGCAGGCCTGGCGTCGAGGGGCGGGCCCGCACGGGGTGGAGCACGGTGCAGGCAAGCGCACAGTTGCAGTAGGCGGCTCGGGGTCATAGCAGCAGGTGGAATGCATTCTTTCCAGGGGACACTGCTTTCTCGAAGGATTCGCGCGGAGCGCCAACAGTTTATGTTTATGGCATTTGTTTTCTTCTTCTATTTTCCGCGCTCTCCTGCAACCAGGCCTGGAGGTGGGCGACGACTGAGACGGTGGCTCCCAGGCAGCCGCACTGGCGGGCGTGGCTGTGGGGCACAGCTGCCTCTCGTCTCCGAAGAGCACGGGTCTCGCCAGGGACTGGGCTGCCAGGGCCAGGGGAATGCAGGCCATGGGCCGGGGGAACGCATGCAGACGGTGCAAGCAAGCACTTCTGAGTTTTAGAAGGATCGTGGCTTTTCCATCCCGGCGACATCTTGGGCCAATGGCTTCCTGGGGGTGCCTCAGAGAGGCCAACCACAGTGAAAACCCGCAGGGTTGTCACTGGTTTTGGTTCTGCGAGTTGAGGGGGAGGACCCAGTTAGCCCTGCCCCGCATCTTGGAGCCCTCTTGTGACACTCTTGCGCGCTCTTGGGGCTGTGTCTTTCACTTCTTCTGGGCTCGGAGCTTCTCTGAGCCTTCGTGGAGCCAATGCGAGGCCGCGCGGATCGAGGACGTCCGCGCGGACCTCCGACAGATACTTCATCTGTGCCGCTTGTTTGTCAGGAGGGGAAACAACAACACACAGACACAATTCACCGTCGATCCCGAGGAACATATGGGAACATATCGGAAGTGGGGGAGAAGACGAAAACCCAGAAAATACGTGAAAATACGGGGAGTCCTGGGATTTGTGCGTATTCACTTCGTGTGTCCTGGGGTCCCTTCCGTCTGGCCCCCCCGGACGAGGAGTTCACCAGTACGCACGTCGGCAAGTACGGGATCTGGGACGTGCCCGGGAGCGAGCCCCTCGCGCGGCTGTGGCCCACGTTCTACAGGCGCGCGCGCGCGCGCCCTCCCCACCTGCGTCGCGGGGCCGCGCGCCCGTGCAGTGCCGGCGCTCGTCCTCGCGCTCCCCCCGCCCCTTCTGCCGCAGCCCCCTGCTGCCGCCTCTCCCAGGGCCAAGTCGGGCTTGTCCCTCGACGGGAGGAGCGTATTCCAAAACAGTCAACAAAAAATGGTCGGGGGGCGATGTTTCGAATCTTTTGGGATTCTCATTGGGTATCTGTTGTTTATTGGAGAGGCCTGACGGCCGGTGCCGCCGACCCTGATCGAAAGGGCTAGGAGTGGGGGAGGAAGCGGAGGATGAGGAGGAGGAGGAGGAGGAGGAGGAGGAGGAGGAGGAGGAGGAGGAGGAGGAGGATGAGGAGGAGGAGGAGGAGGAGGGGGAGGAGGAGGAGGAGGAACCCCACGAGGGGGGGGCCCTCCCAGCTCCTCGCGATGTCCGTGGGGGCCGTGGTCATTCGAGGATCCTCTGGGCGTGTGTTTCTCCAGCGTGTGTGTGTTACCCCTTCCAGCTCCACCGACGTGCAGGACGCAGCCCGTGTCCGCCCTCGTGGCATCGCCTGCGTCGCATCGGAGGGCTTCAGTGGGCCAAGCGCACGTTGGCGCCAACGCGTTCTGGGGGATCACCGAGCGGTGCCGCCTTTCCTTGGACTCTTCCACCTCCGCGTGGCCTCGGCCCGGTTTTGGCAGGGCATGCGGGCGGCCGCAGGGGTGCCGACGCACGCGCGCGGGCCCCGCCCCCTGCCCCATCCGTCCTGGCCCTGTCCTCTGATCGTGCTTGCGTCAGCGTCGAGGCCACTGCGTGGCGGGAGGTCGCGGCCCTGGACGAGCACGTTCGGCGAAGTTGTCGCGGCCCTGGGGGCACACCCCCACACGCCCTGGCGCCCGCACCAAGCACAGGTCTTCGCAGAGCGCAGCGGGTAAACCAGAGGACGAAGCACATTTGTTTATTGGAGAGGTCTCACGGCCAGATCCGCCGAGCCTGGATGGGGGATCAGGCGGGAGGTGCCAGGAAGGCCGCGGACTCCTGTTGGGGTCTCCTGGGCGGCCTCTCGGGAACCTCGCGGACACTTGCAACAAATAACAGTATCTTTGGGTCTCTTTGGGGGCGTGCCGGCGGTCCTGGATGGTATAAGTTTAGTTGCCCTGGGCCCAGTCCACCACCGTGCCTGGGTTGTGGGTCAGGGGTCTCTTGGATGCAAATCGGGCTTTTTTGCGAGGCCTCTCGGGGGCCTCTTGGAGACACTTTTGAAGCCTCTTGGGCCTCTTTCGGGTCCTCTTGGAGCACGTTTGTTAATTTGCACTGCTGCAGATGCAGCAATGTTCACGGGAGCTCTGTTTGACGCCCCAAATACTCAGGGGAGGGCTGCTACATCAAACGAATGTACAAAGGTATGCGCTTGTGTATCCAGCTGCCTGAGGCAAGCCCCGCCTCCGCAGTAGCGTGTGGCAGTTCCAGACCCCCCGTCTGAAAACCCTTCCCTCCTCCTTCCCAGGAGGGTTCCCTCAGGGGAGTTGTTTCCCAACCATCCTGTGGTGTTTGGTCCTCGTTTTGAAGAGACAGCACCCCGCGTCTCCTCTCCTCTCCTCTC